CCCCAAAACCCCAAAACCCCAAACTTCAATATTTTGGATAAATATTGAGTCATTAAATAAGTTTGAATTATGATTTAATGATTAAAGTAATTCTTATTACATTTGTCAATTATTAATTCCTCTTGAGTAATTCTTGAGATAACTTACTTCCTAGAGTAAAGATTCTAATTTATTCTGTAATTCTCTTTAGCCATCTCTTTCTCTGCCTAGTTTGACATAGAGCTCTTCTATCTCTGTGGATGATTTTCTTTTTGATTTATTTAGTTCTTCAACCTCAAATTACAATTCGATTACCCTCTTGGACTTTGCAGATAAATCTAGTCTAAGAGTATCAATTAAAGTTCTGAGCTTAGAATTCTCTGTAGTCATCTCATCTGAACAATCCTTTCTTCCTTTGTAATAAGACTCTTCCCTTGCAGTCTGTAACTGTTAAGCTATATCTTTTTCAAATTTATCTTGTATGTTCTTCTTTGTTTTCTCTTCGATTGAGCCAAGATCCTCTAATAACTTCTTATTCTCCGCTTTCAATTATTTAACTTATGTTTTTTTACTCTAAATATCTTCTTATAGACTAGTTAGATTCTTGGCAAAATCTTTACTCTTAGAAACTATCATATCTTTTTCTTATTTGAGGAATTAAAGCTCATTTTTATAGTTATCTTCAATTCTCTTTATAAACTCTCTATCATTTTCATTCTTAGATTGGACATTTTACTTGACGAATTTCAACTATTAGTTAACATCAAGGAGCTCTCTATTAAGATCTCTTAAATCATCTGAAAGTTTATCCTTGTCCATCATCAACAAATAGAAACATTTCCCAATAAGGGGCAGGAGTGATTCCAAATCTTAAATTAGTTTGGCATTGTTTTCTTAAAATATAATTGTTGATTCGTCCATATTTACTGTGCAATTTGTAGTATCACGATGTCCTTTCATTTTTAAAGGATTACTTACTATATCATCTAAAAGATGCTCTTAATGATGCTCCATTAGGATTTCTTTGACATTTGAGAATATCTACTGATAAGCATCAACATTTTCTTTCCTTGAAAATAGGTCGAGGACTTATTGCCTACGCTCTAATTCTTTAATTTGGAGTAAATACTTTTTATTTTGACCAGCAAATTGATCTTTTTTCTCCCTAAGAGCCACTATTTCAGCTTAGAGATACTCGAAGAGATTTTCCTCTTATCCATTAGGAATGGTCAGTTATTAAGAGGGATATGCCATGCTTCTTTAATTAATCTAGTCATATTAAACTGATTTCATGCTCATTACTCTATTATTCATTTATCTTTTTGGTGATTATGATTATATGGGTTGGTATAGTGGAGCGTTTAGATCTTGCTAGGATCTTGCAATTCCTCCAGATATTGCTATACTTCTGTTAGGGAAGTTTAAACCTCTCATCGAGTTTAATGGATTAGGATACTACAATTATTGCTGTTGCTATATTTACTGGATCTGCATGAATAATTACTGCTTTTCACTTTGAAGCACATTAACAGCTTTTTATAAATTTTCTCTTTACTTAACTAATTAGTTTACCTTTAAGTTTATATCATTCAAAATTTAATCTACTGACTCGTTAAGTGATTAATCATTGATCTATTACAGAGATTTATCTACTCTGAACATAATCTCATTTCTAATTGTTTTTAATTTCAAGACAATATCTTTCGCACAACCGTTTTCAATATTAACGACTTTTTATGACAAATTTTAGATTTAGGCCATAAGTCTACCTTTCATCTCCTCGCTAAGCATTCTTTCTTCTTTAAGTACTCTGTTAAGGTCCATATTAAGTTATTTGAGCTCATGATTTTCATTAATGAGTATTTTCTCGTTGACAGAGGTTGTTTACAGCTCAGTTAACTCTCTAACTTTTTCATCTACCAGTCTTTTTTCTCTTTCATACTAGTTCTTTAGTATGTGGATATTTCTCTGTAGGATTTCAGTCTCTTTTGAAGTCTCATCTAGCTGAATAGTCTTTAGCTTGAATTCCTTTAGTTCACTTTCCTTAAAGTTCAAACTTCTCATGAGATTGTCATGTTCTCTCAATGATTTCTATGTTTCAATCAAAAATTGCTTTTCAGTCTCCTTGTTAGCATTTTCTAGCACATCAATATACTTCTATTACTCACCAATTTTTCTATTCATATCTTCGACCATGTTTTCAAGACTAACTATCTTTGAGTTTTTCCTTAATAATTCCTCCTGCATTTGGTTATTCAAAAATATTTTTTCCTTAACATCCTCTTATGCTTTCTCTATCTATCTTTCTGCATCTTTCAACTTAGAGTTAAGATAGGAAATCTTCTTGTCTATCACAGATTATTACTATTAAGGGCTCTTTGAGTAATTTAATGAAGCTAGTTTATTACTTGTTGCTACTGAATCTCTAAATGGAGATGAAGACTAGTAATCTGATTTCAATGGAGACTGCAATCTTGTATTATTAGATTAATATTCTGATTGCACCTAGTTTTCCTTGTTCAAATGAGATAACTACTTCTTCAGCTTAAGTATCTGATTCATCTGCTGCTAATTAACTTCAATCAAATTTTGCTAGTCAGAGTTCTAGCATAGTTTATCATAATTCTACTTTAGAGCTTTGAATTTCTGTTTTCTGATTGAATATTTCACATTTCTAAAATCAAGACTTGTTTCTACAAAATTACAATTAATTTGAGTTGACATACTAATTGGATTTACTTACTTAGTTTATAGAATAAGAACAGCAAATCATTGAATTGCTTTTATTAGTTTGTAAGGATTTAGAGTCCATCTTTATTAAATTTAGAACCATCTAAATTCTCATTCTGCTTCTTTTATACATCTTCAACTTTGGTCATTATTTGATCTAGTTCTTGAGCCTCATCATTTAGTTTTCTTTGATTTACATTGTACTTCTTTGTACTATAATCTGATACAATGTTTATTATCTGCTTGATAATCTTAGAATAATACTCGAAATCAACTTAACTATCGTATTTCTTAAGTGGATCTAGTGGCTGAGATTTCCCAAGATATATCTCCACTACAGTCTGTTTAAGTTCAAGCACAGAATTAATCAAATCACTTAATCCAAAATTATACTAATTCTTTTCAGTTCTGTAACTAAGATCCTTTTCCTTGAGTTCTTCGTATTACTTCCTTAACTTCTCATATCTGTCAACCATGTATTTAGTGTCAGCTCCTTTAGTTATTAAAAAGTCTTCGCATTAAATGTTCTTATTCGCAAATTACTTCTCACTCGCTTTTGGATTAATACCGTAATCAAATACCAGATTGCCTTTGAGTTACTCTTTTTCGAATTATTAAAGTCTTTTGATTTCATTTTTTAAGTCTCTAATATCTTAATCTTAGTTATTCATATGTTTGATTTGATTTTATAATTCCTAGCATTCTTTCGCCTTTTCTGATAGCTCTAAATCTTTCTGGTACAATAATTAGCCCTTAGTTTTATTTTGTGAGATAAGCTCCTAAAGCTTTTATGATTGGTTTGATACCATCATTACCTAATCCTAATTATCCAACATTTAGAGAATGCTTTGAGTATTCTAAGCAAGTTTTTACTCAAGCTAATTAATCTTTATCGAGAATTGGTCTCTTTCCTGTAATACTTGATTCCTTTCGTCCTAGAGTTTGTTAAAATCCTTTATGATAAACAAATGTCTTTTTTCAAGATCTTTGATTTCCTATTGCAATTGGCTAATTTACCTCATTTATGCTCTATGACTTGTGTGTAATTAAGTACTTGACTAGAGCTAATTTTAGTTATTATTCCTATTTGAATTCTAAACTGATCTGTTCCTAAAAGAGAATGTGATATTATCTTAGCTTTTATTTCCATGATGATCATCCTTATCTAATGATGAATTTCTTTGTTGTGCTTAAGCTTCTAGCAATAATTCAATCAGTTAGTCTTTAGTAAATGTCTGAAGTTTTGAAGTTGATTAGGTATGCTTGAATTTATGCTTCGGTGTATTAGAAAGTTAAGATTTATTTAGTCCCTAGGATCTTTCAAGTGATTATGATAATTATGGCTCAGCTCTATAGCTAGAATTTCCAAGATTATGGTATTGCCTCTCAAGAGAATTAGATTTTTTCTTCTGAGAATATTGCAGCTTTAGGAGATGAACTTCTCTATCAATCTATGATAGTTCTTAAATTTTTTAAAGGTTTTGGCCACTTTAACTTTGTCTTTGATTGCTAAGAAGTCTATGATTAAGCCTCTTTCCAGGAATAATCTGTGATTCAGATACATTTGAGTACGATTTTAAAAGCTCGATTTATTGATTAAGTTTTTAAATCAGTTTTGATTAGAATTCATTTTCGCTTTCAAGTTTCTTTATCAAATCAGTCTAATAATATTAGGAAAAATATTAGACTTACGTATTTAGAGATATCACCTTAGTCTACTTTACTATGAGATTTGTCTGCATCCATTCTTCCTTCCTCAATTTCAAGAAGAAGTTAGCATATTGCTTCACATTCTTGCAATGATGCTACTGATAGTTATTGAAAATTCTAACAAAAAATAAACTCAACAATTAATTATTACGGCAATATGATAAGATTATATATGGTAGAGATCAGGATATGCTTCAAATAAAGCCTCTTGTAGCTTTTCTAGGCGGGGCTTTTGCTCATCAAAATCAATTTATTCCATTTGCATCATTTAAATTAGAATTATTATTAATTTGAATTCAAATTTAAACATATGTAATTTGATGGGGTTTTGGGGTTTTGGGGTTTTGGGG